GGCTATCTACAGAAGGAAGGCATATTAATTTATTTTGTAATAAGCGCATGCAGCTTTTAATAAAGAAAAAGAACAGGTGAAAAATAAATGTTTGTTGTAGAAGTCGGTTTGACTGCCTGCATCGATGTTGAATTCACCGTTGAATAAGAGATTAATTAAAAATTACTTGAGATCGCTATTGCCTAACTTAACTATAGTGACTTGCTTTCAAGTTTGTTAGCAAAACTTGCTCTGTCCTTTTTGTTCCTTTACTGTTTTTTGCATTCTCACTAAATCTCTCTAGATATATCTTTACTTATACCTGCAATAATGTTATAATTTTTACGTGTGATCGCTTTTAGTTGTGGAGTCACTAATCATGCTGGTTAATGAACCGGAACCGGAGCATTCGTTGAGAACTGATTTGGCCGAGGAATACTCAAGGGATAGGAGAAAGTTCATGAAGAACGCAGAAGACTTTACGAAGAAATACGCCGAGAAAAGACCTGATTAGTTAATTAGTTAATCTCTGGATCAATCATTTTCTGGTTACGTTTATACTATTGATATGGCGAAGTTTAATCTTGTATTTCTTTTATATAGTTGTGTCAATTAAAAATGCATCATTCATATTTTGTCACTATTTACGTACAGAAGAAAAATGTTTTCTCTAAAGTTCACTTGCTACATTTGTTTTCACCGGTTGCGCACCATCTAGCGGTGTTGTTCATTCTGTGACTTTTCTACGGTGTTACATTGTATTGCTGGAAACAGTAAAACGATCAGTAAACCTTGTATCGTGACTAGCTGGTGACGTCTACGTGGGGATGTGTCTTTTGCACGTTAAATATTTGTTCTCAATTTATGTATATGACCAGAATTTATGCATACTGCTAAATCACTTGCAACCCGTTCATTTTTTTCTTATATTTGCGGCGGGGGGGTGTTCAGTCACTGTGAAGGTATTTTCCACGTTGAATTTTGGACGTATATCGTTAAATGAATTTGCAGCAGCTATTTTGACAGGACTCTGAAGTGAAGTGTACGTCATTGTAAGAAGGAATATGTGCAGAGCCTGCTAAAATAAGCAAAATACAGTTTGTGAAGAGGCTAAGGTAGAAATGTCTGTTGTAATTTAAGTTTAGTTTTAATGTAATGCGTGTGTTCCACAGTTGAATGTTTTTGAGCGATCTTGGGACTTTAGGACGAATAATAAAACTTTCAGTTGCAGTTCCCACATTTCGATCGTTTATGAAATATAATAAGATAGCCTGATTAATGCGAAAATAAAATCAGCAAAAACGATATGTAATAACTCAGCAGCTAATTGCTAGTTCCAAATGGAAGGAAATGTTCTCCGGTGATGACTGGCAAGATTAGCATCGCGATATCAAAAACGTTGGAAGTAAATGTTCGTGTTGGCTAAATTCGATAACCATCGGGTTGTAGTTGCAAGCGATTACAGAACCTAATATTTTTCTGTTTTACACGTTAATTATCATATTGAATAGGCAGGTTTCCAGTGGGTTAAGGGAAATTGCAGTTCCTTGGAACGTACGTATCAAATATGACTGTAAATATGACCCATTCGGAAATGACTAACCAGGATATGATGCTCATTTTGTCATTTTTAAGTCAATGATTTAAAGTGCTCGTTTCCGGTTAGTTGCAGAAAATCAACATGGTAAATTACTTGAGATTTTAGATTATAAGACGGATTATCCGTTAAATTGATTCGAACGCGATACCTCAGGAGTTGGAAGTCGGCCTCTGCCATCATGCCCTGTATCTGAACAACTGAACCATTTGTCATTTTGTTCTCTCCGTAATCTAGGAATGCTGAATACTTACTTCACAGCTGTTTATTTAACAGCACATTTAATGGGTCTTGCTGCAATGGCCGATGAAGCGTAGTAATTTACGGTAACATTTAGGCAGCTGCATTGTTTAGGCTTTGACTGCATTCGATGATCTGGAAATTGGCAACACCGTTCGGAACGAGGTACGGAAATGCACTGCCTCCACGGTATTGTGGAGAAACCTACATGGTGCTTTGTTGTCATCTATAAACAACTAGCTTTACTTATGGAGATTTTAATCAGTTTTAACTGGCTTAAGCGAAGAGTCCTTTCAGACTAATGTTGATGGACAAAATGAAAGACAAAATTTGGTAGCATTCTGAGTACCCGCACTGAGGGCCTAAAAATAGCTAGCATTATAAATAACAGACTTTAGCAGTGGACCAACGTGTCTTGTGCTACATGCGTACAACTATGACCA